TCTAGGTTGCTTCCCACCAGTGGGGAAGGGGCTTCCACCCCTTGCTGGGGAACCCCTGGAGGTCACCAATGTGAGGGAGGGTCTGAAAGGTCCCCGCCTTCTTGGGAGTGGACGATTGCCCCAGGGCAGCAGCAGCAGCGAGGAGCTGCTTTATTGTCCCCCCAAGTCAGGGCTGGGCATAGGGGTGATTAGAAACCAGGGGTAGGGCCCCTGTGCCTAAAGGCTCCTGTCCCTCCTTTCATCTGGGGCTGGGCCATCCTTGGGCTCCCCCCTTGGGCTCCTCCCACCCACCCACCCACCCACCCAGGGCTTGGACAAAAAGAGAAGGGTTAACACAAGCTTCTCACACACAGAGTCAAAACACAGACACCACGGTGCAGGCATGCGTGTGTCCTAGTCTGGGGGCGGACGTGCCAGCATCTCCCATCCCCTCAGCTGCAGAGGGCTCTGTGGGCTCTGCTCTGCAGCTGGGAGGAGCAGCAAGCACCATGGTCCAGCTGCATGCGGAAGGGCTGGGGCTGCGGCTGCCCACAGGGGCTCCCTTCAGCAAGAGAGGGGCCACTTTCCACAAGCCGGTGGGTTGGGGCCAGGGAGAGCCAGGGAGGCCAGATACCGCAAACCAGTCCCAGGAGGGGTTGGCTTGGGAAGGACTCAGGCCAGGCCACCCAGAGGGAGGCACTGAGCTGGGTGGGGTGGGGATGGGGGGCAGGGGAGCTCTGGCCTCCAGGGTGCTCATGCCAGCATGTCATTGGGTGTGGTTCTCAGAATCATCTGGGAAGCCAAAGCCTCTTTGTCCTCAGCTTCAGGGGCTATCAAGACTCACACAGGACCTCGAGGCTGTCGCCCATGAAGCCCAGAAGCAGGGTGCTGGCTCGCAAGCCAACACCCTGCCTCTGGCTGGTGGGCCCAAGTTGGGAGGGAGGCGTGCATGGATACATCACAGTCCACACTGGGGGCGGGCCAGGGGGGAAGGGCAGGGAGGGTGGGGAGGTGGGAGTGCCTAGGACTAAGAGGGGAGGGGAGTGACACCTTGAACATGAATCATCTTTACCTATATATCCTCCGCCTCCTCCACCTGAGGAGCACCCCCCTCCACCCCCTCCGAAACCCCCTCTTGTCTCCCACCCCCACTTCTTCATGGCCTGGGGGCAGGAATGTCCTCCGGTAGCACCCTCCAGCAAAGATTTTCCAGACCAGAGCTGGGAAGTGTTATCATTCCAGCCACCTCCACCACCTGCAGGAAGAGACAGAGAGAAGGCCAAATGAGCGTGCAGGTACAGTCCCTTGTCTAGACACCGCCCAGCAGGGAGACGAAGCCAGAAGAGGAGTGCTTTGAGGGGTGCTCCCTCTCTTGATCCCTCACTCACTGTTCTGGTCCCAGGGGGAGAGCGGGCCACTTGCCCCAGGGAGGCCTGGCTTGGCGACACCTGTGCCCACCTTGGTTTGAGCACACCTTGTTCCTCTGCCCAGGCGACAGAGGCCTTGTTGACTCCCAAGCAGGGAGGCTACTTGGGTGGGATGGAGGGGAGGTGGGGACAGGCCACAGGACAACGGGATGTGTCCCCTGCTCTCTGTCCATGCCTGACGGAAGCCTGCAAAGGAGACACTATGTGCAGGGTTGAGGTTGAAACCGTCTCTAATCTCCATGCCACAGGCTGGCCGCAGTCCGTCTCTCCGGCTGGCCTTTGGGTTTCCAAGCGCCCGCCCACCAACCCTCACTGCCCTCACCCTAGATTGTACGTGATGGCATTTTAGCAGGGAGTCCACTCCCCCCGAGCCCAAGCTATTGTCCCTGCAGACGGTGGGGGTGGGGTGGGGTGGGGACAGAGGCAGACAAGAGCCCTGTGCAGGTCTACTGTAGACGGCAGAGTTCACTGCCTGGAGGCTCATCAGGAAGAGCGTGTGGCTGGGGTTCTCCTGGACCCAGAGTGGACAGCAGGAGGCCAGGTGTAAGAACAGGAGGCAGCGGGTCCGGAGCAAGCTTGGATGGAGCTGGGACCAGCAGGGCTGAGCGCAAGCCCTCAGGCAGCTGAGGACACCCTTGGCCTTCTTTGGAAGCTGCGGAGCGAGGGGCGTCCTACTTGTGTTTCAGGCAGCTGACCCTTCTGCTGGCCAGAGCACAGGGTGTGGGACTGCTGGGGTTGTTGCTGTCATGTGGCATCAGAACCTAAATGGGGCTCTGGTGACTGTGCAGGACAGTGAACAACAAGGTACGGGGAGGGCGTGTCTGGTCGCATCTTCAGTTCTTTCTCCCCTCCCCTCCCGCTACTCCTTCTTGCTGATTGAGGACTTCACAGCTCATGGCTGAGGGGCTTTCTGAACCCCACTGCTCTCCAACTCCTTCTTACAGCCTGTAATTACGCCAATACATGGGGGTAAAAAAGCACTGGGCATAAAAATAAAAACAATTATATATGTATATTATATTATTAATATATATTAAGGATCAAGAGCCCCGTCTCCACCACTAAACCGTTTAGTCCTATTGGGAGGAAGCAAGCCAACCAAGCAACCACGGAACCCTGTGAGTGTGTTTCTCCTCGTTCTGCACGAGAATATGAATACCTGGCTGGACAGCAGGACAGGGTTGTTTTTGGAAAGCGTGTGCACCGTGGACATGGACGCGCATCGTTGTTGCTGGAGTGCTGACCCGGTGTAAACGGAGCCATGCGCATGGATGGTGGGAAACCCCCCAGTGGCAGCTCCGGCTTTGCTTCTAACGCCAACCTCTCGGCTCCCAACTCATTGCCACGGAGTCGATGGTGACTCACAGTGGCCGGATAGGACAGGGCCGAACTTCCCTTGTGGGTTTCTGAGACCGTGGCTCATTACGGGAGCAGAAACCTTGACATGCTTTCAGCCTGCTTCCCTCCATCTAATGGTGGAGGAGAGAAGAATGCAGAAATGATGCGATCTCTTTAGAGCTGGCTGACGTCAGACGAAGCGATAGCCACACACGCCCACCCATGTCTGTCCCATCTCTGTCACTGCCAGCTCGTCATGAGGAAGGGGAGTCAACCGTGGAGAGGTAATGAAGAGATTTGTGGCGTGGGAGGCTCCCCCGCTGAGTGGTGGTGCACATGATTAAGTGCTTGGCTGCTAATCGAAAGGTTAGAATTTTGAGTCCACCCACCGGACCCCAAACCAAACTTGCTAACAGAGTCAATTCTGACTCATAGTGACCCCATACGACAGGGTACAACTGCCCCTGTGAGTATCTCTTTATGGGAGTAGTGGCTGGTGGTTTCGAACTGCTGACCTTGTGGTTGGCAGCCTAATATGGACCCACTATGCCACCTCAAAAGAAAGGACGGCCTGGTGATTTACTTCTGAACAAGCAGCCATTGAAGACTGTCCCCATTCTGACACACATGGGGTCCCCAGGCCTCAGAATGGACTGGTTGGCAACTGATAACTGGGGTCCCATCTGCCCGAGAGAAAGGGTGAACCTAACAAAGGCACGTTGATAACCCTTGGGGGCCAGGTCGGCAGGGGTCTGGGTGTTGCTCCCTGTCTCATATCCTCCATAACTTTTGCGAGTCCAAACCCCATGACAGGAGCAAGGGGCATGGTTCTGGGACCCTTCCGGGTGCCACCTGATCTTCCATATGGAGTAAATAAACAAACGCAAACCCAAACCCGTTTGGGTTTGACCATCAGCTCCTGCTGTTGTCTCATCAGGGTTCAAACAGAGAGGAAAAGCCATGTCTGGACACCTGGACGCAGGACAATTGGGCAACCTGGACCTGGCTTTCTGTGGAGTTGATTCTCCTTCCTAACAGCTCTATAGGACTGAAACCACTGGTTTTTCAAGCTGCAGTCTTTACAGAAGCACACCCGTCTCTTGTGAAGCAGTTGGTGGATTCGAACCACCGATCTTTCCATTGAGGGCCCAGAACTTTCACCACCAGCAACACTCCTTCTGAGCTTCCGCACGGCCAGCTTTACAGACCTCCCCCTGGTAGACCGGGGCTCGGTGGCCGGTGGCCGTGCCTCACCACACACAAGCGCACCCAGAGTGGCGCGGGGAGGGAGGCGCGGGCTTTACCTGCGGCTCCGGAATTGCCGTTCAGCCCGAGCACTGAGGAGTTATTCTCCAACCTCTCTGCATGGAAGGTGTCTGTCTTGGCCCCGTAGGCTCTGCCACCACCGCCGGCTGCAATGATCAGGGGCACTGGCACTCCATCCTTCATCTGGCCAAGGGGAGACATTTGGAAACTGAAAAACCATATGGGGTGTTTGCTCGGGGCACTCTGAGCCCTGGTCTAAACAGGTCTGTGGTCTGTGTGTGTGAATGGCAGCCAGTGCCCTCTCTTCATGGTCCCAGGGTCCTGAACTCTGGTGACCATGACCTTCAGCTCCTGCTGTTGTCTCATCAGGGTTCAAACAGAGAGCAAAAGCCATGTCTGGACACCTGGACACAGGACAACTGGGCAGCCTGGACCTGGCTTTCTGAGGCCCCTTTCCCGAAGATTGTCTGAGGTCTGAGAGATCTGGGTGCTGCAGGTGCGAAGCAGGTCTGTCAAACCCTGGGGAGTTGTTATAGATAGAGTAGTGCCACCCGCGAAGACATGGAAGTGCTATCCCCTGGTACACACTGACTGTGATCTTGTTTGGAAAGAAGGTCTTTGAAAATGTTATCGTGTAACCCGCCCCGGTCAGGTCGTTGCAATTCTCTCCTCTTAGAAACCAGGAGAGGAGAGCAGAGAGGCTACAGAGTGAGGCTGACTGCAAGCCACCACCTAGGGCCACGGGAAGCCGGGAGAGAAACTTCCAGTAGAGACTGCACAGAGAGCACGTCCCTGACAAGCCCTCCCCCTGCAGCATCACCGTCATTAAGGAAGGACCCAGACAGGAAGCCCACAGAGGGCAGAGGTCTGCCTGCCCGTCTGTTGCTATCAATGGATAGCGACCCTCTAGGACAAAGCATAAGTGCCTGAGAGGGTTTCCAATGCTGTCTGCCATCCTCCCGGGAGCGGACTGCCAGCTCTTTCTTCCGCGATTCCGAGGATGGAATACAAGGGCGAGTTGGGACTGGGCTGGTATGGTAGCAAGAGAAACGCCACCCTTTCTGGGACAAGCCAGTACCCCGCTTTCCCTGAGCCGAGGTTCCTCATCCTTATGGGGGGCCAACACCATTTGGGACATCTCTATCAGAAGGCAGGTGTAAGGCTCCAGCCAAGGAACCCTTGGGGAATCTGGAAGGCTGGTCCTGTGAAGCCAGCTTAAACAGGTATGTTGCTTTGCCCTGCCCCGCCCCCAGCTCTACCTTAAACACGTATGTGGCGCCGCCCCCGCCGCCGCCACCGCCCGCCCACTCATGCACGCTTCGGTTCACGCGGAGTTCTTCTTCGATCACGTTGTTCTCGCCAACACAGACTTTCTGGATCAGTTGGCTAGTCTGCAGAAACAGAAGCACATGAGGTACACGCCCACATGAGTGCGCTCCCCTTCCCAGCAGACAGACAGAACTCTGCCTACAGATAGCGACTCGGCTCCCAAAGAGCTCCCTGTTGAGTGAGGGGACAAAAGAGATACACAGACAGCTGCCATCCTGGGTATCGGAGGAGAAGAACCACAGGACAGCTTAGCTAGTTGGAAGTTGGGAAGAGAGAATGAGCCTTTGTCATGACTGGTGATCAATCAGGGAGGACTTCCTGCAGGCAGAGAGACATTTAGTTGAGCCTTGAAGAAAAGGGAATATATAAATGTGTACCTATTATTTGATTTTTTTTTTTACATAGAGGATGGGGTAAAGTTACTGAATTCCAGAATGAGAGGGCAGCATGAATCCAGAGAGAGGGAGGCAAGGTGAAAAAGCAGAAATCCCTTTGGCTCAGGAAACCTCCTTCTGAGACAAGAGAGATCGTCGACAGGTATGGGTCAGATCCTCTGGGCTGTAAAACCAGCCCCGTGTGATGAGATGGGGCTGGAGGGAATGTGTCCAGGGGGCAGCGAGGGAATCAGATGGGGCAGTTAGATTATGGCCCAAACGAAAATCCAAGCTCACTGCCATTGAGTGGGTCTGACTCACAGTGACACTAGGACCAGGTAGAACTACCCCTGGACGTTTCTGAGACCAGATATCTTTAAGAGAGTAGAAAGCCCCATCAGTCTCCCTTGAGGTGGCTGGCGGGTTTGAACTGCCGATCTTTTGGTTGGCAGTCTAACACATAACCACTACTCCACCAGGGCTCCTGCTAGATCATAGTCTTGGATGCCATCCGATAGGGAGCCTGCACTCAGGAGTCTGTGGGGAGCCAGGCAGCGTGTTTAAGAAACTGGTGGTCCCCAGCATCATGAGAAAAGGATATAAACCAGGGGAGGCCGGACTTGTGCATTTGATTCCTGGCTCATCATTGGGAAAGTCCTATCTCTATTTTGGACAGCTCATTTCTCCTTGCTAATGTCCCCTTTCTTGCCTCCAGTTAATCCCCTGACGCATCCTTGAAGTGGAGCTCCCTCCATCTGCCACATGTGAACCCTGGAACCCGTACTCCACCCACTTCCTAAAAAGACCCGATAAAACATCCCATTTCTGTCGAGTGCCGCAGTGTAACCAGCAGTAGACAAGGCCATTCATCTGGAGCCACTCCTTATGCTAAACCACTCAGGGGTGCCGGCAACGAGTAGTAGAAAACTTGCTGGTTAGAGAGCCGAGATGCCATTTGTTTCATGGCATTTTGGATTTAATGATGGAAATAGTTTGATATTTTCTAGAACGGGTTTAGTGTGGGCGGGAGGCACTGGTTTGCTGTTGTTGAGGCTGATCATTGCGCTTGTGTATTTTGCAGTGCAGTCCAAGGCCCTGTGGTGGCTGCTCGGAGGGCACCCTGCTAACTGCCTGCCAGGGAGGACTGAGGATGTAAGCGGTGTGCCCTGAGGGCAGAGCTCGGGGAAGGGGAAAGAAGTGGAGGCTCTGGGTAGATGCTGCCAGCACACGGGGTCCAGACTCACCCCACCAGCACTGTTAGAGAGCTGCTGGGGCACCTTGGGTGAGTCGTATCACCGCTGGTCTTGACCTCTTGCGTCCCCTCAGGCCCTGCTCCCTTTCCTCTTCAGGCTGGCCCCTAACCCCTCTGCCCCCACGCCCGCCCAGGAAAAGAACCTGGAGGTGGGTGGAGAGTGCTGGATGGGGGAGGGAAGAAGAGATGGCATTTGGATGGCTTTCACGTAAGTAGAACCCAGACTCATTCCCACCCCTTTAAATCGAGGTGTACAGGATGTGGGAGTGGGGAGGGGGCGGGTAGTGTGGTGATTCCTCCCCAGACCTCTAAACCCTGAGAGTCCAACAGGTTTATTTTCCATCTTTCACAACCCTTGGCGAATTCATCCCGTTTCCACTTTCTCTGCTTGTTCCCAAGTGTGTATCTCCACCGTAGACCTCTCCCCTGATCCACAGGAAACCTCTGCTTGGCTCTCTACTGACATTCTCAACTCGGTGTGTCCTGCCCTCAGCTGTCCCTGTGCAGACCGGCTCTGTTCACAGCAGCCCCCCACTCCCCTTTCCCCACCCCCCTGGCCTCTATCCTGGCTTAGACCACCATCACATTATCTGGATCAATGCAATGCCCTGTCCTTCCCTGGTCTCTGCACAGTCAGTTCCCCACTGAGCAGTCATAGTGAACCTTTAACATGTAAATCAGACTAGCCTCTCCAGCTCTAGACCCTGCGGAAGGCATGGACCATCCTACAATGGCCTCTGGCCTCTTGGATGCAGCCCCATGGTCTGGGGCCTCCCTTCCCTCTTGGTCCCTCTGCTCCATCTCAAAGCCCCTTGGGAATACCGGGCACTCTGGCCTCTGCCTCGCCCAGGTCCCTCTTCCCCAGATATTGTCCTGGTTCAGTTGCTTAACACTTTCAGCACCCTGACAGCTTAGTGGTTATACTGCAAGGTCAGCAGTTCAAAACCACCAGCTGTTCCCCGGGAGAGAGACAGGGATTTCTACTTCCCTAAGAGTTAGCAGTCTTGGTAACTCTACCCAGTCCAGTGGGGTCACTGAGTCAGCATCGACTGGATGGCAGTGTTTGGTTTTTCAGTGGGCTTCCCTTGACCATGCAGCTTGCCGCCTCCCCCTCCCCCCAACCTGGGACCCCCGACCTTCGTTCACCCTTAACAGTTTTCATCTTCAGACGTGCTGTGCAATTGCTTTATGATGTCGACTGGCTACCACGCCTGTTCCCCGCCCCTCCATCCCCCCCTCAGCGCCAGTTCCTGGAGAGCAGAGACCCTGGCTCTGCTCACTGACGCGTCCCCTGGCACAGTGACAGGCACCCCTCTGATGCTCAGCTGTCACTTTATTTGCTTTGGGGCGGGGTGGTGGTGTTGTGTGTGTGGTGGTAACAGGGGGGTTTAATACAGGGGTAGTTCTCCTTTGGGGGCAAGTTTGCCCCCAAGAGGCCACCTGTCCACATCTGAAGACATTTTTGATGGCCAGATCTGGGTGCTACTGGAACCCAGCGGGTAGAGTCAGGGATGCTGCCAACCAATCACTCCACAATATGCCGGATGGACAGTGCCCCACATCCAAGATGCCAAGAGTGCTGCTGCCAAGCTAGCTACCCTGATTTCGACTCACCTTAGGAAGGAACCCGGTGAAGCTGGGCTACAGTGGGGTGTGGGTGTCCTACCAGGGTGGGTGTCCTACCAGGGAGAAATGGGCAGCTAGTTCCCATTCCAGGACCAGGCTCTCCAGTGTGGTCAGCTGCCCAGGAAGAGCGACTCCCCACCCCTGTGCAGTTGAACCAGAGAAAGCTGCTGAATCCGGCAATTTGATGCATGAAGCCCATTGCTCTGCGGGGAGTCTCTCTTTGCTGGTTTCCTGCCAGGGGACAAGTGGTGAGGTATGGTACCTCCTGAGAGACCTGGCTTTCTTTCTGCCTCCTGAGCCAGCAAAAGTGGGGAGCGCCAGAGCCAAAGCAGTGACACCCCCAGCTGCCCTGGTCATGCTGTGCCTGACCAGCAGAGGGGGCTGCCCTTTGTCGCTGGCTGAGAACCGCCTGCACGCGGGCTCCCGGGCTCTCCCTGCCATCCATGAAGTTTGAGAGCCGCAGGTTGATTAATAAAATGATAAAGTGCAGCAACCCAGAGGAACAAGCAGATTACAATTGAATTAAAAAGAAAAAAAAAAGAGAGAGGGACGTGGTCCTGTGAAAAGACATAACTGATTACAATCCAATCAAGTAAAAGTCCCTTGCAGAATTCAATGCAATCTTTCAGCTGAGATGAAAGAATTACATTCGCACTCAATAAATTCCTACAAAAATTACAGCCAGCCTGTAATTTAATGACTTAATATATTATATCAGGTTGGAAAGTCCTGATTATAGCTGCTAAATAAAAGTTGGAGTCTAGACATTTCTCATGCAGTAGGTTGCACCTGCTAAGCTTCCTTAGGTTTGCACTGCTTTGAACCCTGATGTGGCTGAGCACTGTGTCCCCCCACCCCACACGCTTCTGAGAGAGAGAGAGAGAGAGAGAGAGAGAGAGAGAGAGAGAGAGAGAGAGAGAGGCTGGGGGAGTGATGGTGAGAGGTGGCTGGGGGGGATTGGGGAGGGCATCTCTGTATTTTATATCTTGCTTCCTTCTCAGCTGCAGCCCAGAACCTGGCTCTTAGGAGCTCTCTGTAGTTTTGTGTGTGTGGACCCAAGCTGTAGCTCTTCCTTTCCCCTGCTCCCCGAGGCTGCTAGCCTGTGAGTTCCTGGGGAAGTCAGCTGCATCCTGGGCACAGGAGAAGCTGACCCAGAGGAGGCCTGCCCTGCCCTTTAGAGAGCACTGCGGGGCCTACCTCCCCCAACACAAGCAAGAGACACAGGATTGGAGGGGTGGTGGTGGGGGTGTGTGTGGAAGGAGGTAGGTGACAGGGTTCATGTGCTCCCTCTTGGACAGCTAGACACCCAGAATCTTTCTGCACTCACAGCATCCTGGGGGTGTGTGTGTGTCAGAAATGAGAATGACAGGCGGTCCCCCTGGGCAGCTGAGCCTGCAGTCTGATCAGTCCAGCGATAACCAAGTGGGAAAAGAACGAAGCTGGAGACCCCCAGACGCAGCAGGCAGGGCAGGGTGCAAGCAGCAGTGTGGGTCCCTGCTCTGTGTCCCCATGGGCCTCTGTGTGCAGTTGCCTCATCTGGAAAATGGGGACGCTCTGACTCCACCTCTGAGTCAATGCCTTACTTTTTTTAAAGTTTCAAATCACACAACTAATATTATCTGAATACTCTCTTTTTGTAACAAATCCTGATTAATACCCCAAAGCCAGTCCCTTCCCCAGATGTACTGTGGCTATATGAGTGTGATTTTGAGAACAAGAAATGTTCAGCCTGCTGTCTCCCTGTGTAGACTAACACAGCTAAACAGTGGTGCCCTAGCAAGAAAGTTCTAGAAGGGACTTCAGGCTTCCCCTTGCACTGCTGCTGAGAACAGTAGCCACTGGCTGGGTCAGCGAGGCTCCAGTTTTTCAGTTTCAGGGTCACCCACAAAACCTACACCTCAATTTTCATCCCTCTGAGGTCGTGACACCACACACCCCAGGCTTTCTCAGACACCCACATGGCCTTAGAAATAAAGGGGGGCACTCTCAGGTGGAACAGAAGTGCCACCTGCTCAGAGGGGGAGTCCTACTGTCTTTGAATGTGCGCCCTAGAAGGTGTGTGGGGCATCAGTTCTCAGTGGCCCCCTTGTCCTGGATGAGGGTGGAGGAGGAAGCCCGCACTGGGCACTTACGCTGGGGCAGGCGTCCTCCCCCTGCTGCCCGACCAGGATGTACAGCATGTCGTCCTTCTCCAGGTTGAAGATGCCCAGCACGGACACCCCGTGGGACCGCATCCGGGTATTCTTCCCGCCTTTCCCGCCTGCGGCTCCGTAGCCCGAGATGCTGCAGGGAACAAAGCACATTGGCTGCTGTGGGGGGTGTGAAGACCAGCCCTTCCTGCCAGCCCACAGCCTCCAGGGGATGAAGCAGACCACCTCCTGGTCCCAGTGGGTCATCCACATCTGCCTGGCAGGGAGGAAATTCAAGGCCAGAGAGGGTTGACAGCAACCAAACACCTGGGGGCGAAGGGTCAGACCCTGTGTCTATGAGTATTGATGGGGGCATGGGGTGCTGGTTCCCCAGATGCTTGCCCTTTCTCTCCCTGCCCAAGACCAAAGGACTCACATGTGACTACTTACCAAATGTGTCCTTTCAGACAGGTAACTGAAGGGAAAAACCAGCTGCCTGCCATTGAGCCAATCCTGACTCACAGCGACCCCGTAGGAAAGAGTAGATCTGTCCTTGGAATTCCGAGGCTATGGATCTTTACAGGAGAAGAAAGCTTCATCTTTCTCCCTTGGAGTGGTTGGTGGGCCGAGATAACAGCTGTGTGCACTTGCTTATTTCCTTCCCACAGATAGGAGCCCTGGTGGCACACTGGTGAAGCACTCAGCTTCAATCCCAGCAGCCACTGCGAGGCTCTCTGCTGCTGGAAAGGTTTGCAGCGTTGGAAACCCACAGGGGCAGTCCTGCTCTGTCCTATAGACCAGGGTCGCTATGGGTCAGTCTCGACTAGCTTGCCATTGGGTTTTTAGGCCATGTATGCTATAAAGAGGAAGGGAATTGAGATGCCTTCAAGCCTTGGAATTGCGACTACCCTGTTTCCCCGAAAGTAAGACATCCCCCCAAAATAAGACCTACTCACAGTTCTGCCTCTTGCTGAAATATAAGGCATCCCCCCCAAAATAAGACCCCCCTGAAAATAAGGGTTTGGATTGTTATGATGATGTTCCAGAAGATGATGACATGGCTGTCATTGAATAAATGAGTAAATGTACCATAGATTGTTATACATGGAAATCATGGTAGTAACAAGAAATTCTTGATACTGTAGGATTCAGTTTGTCTGGTTATGCTGGTTTGTGATGACAACTGCTACCGTACTGTATACAGGTAATCAATTTCCTTTTTTTTTTTTGTTCAACAATAAATGTGTACCGTATTCTTCTTCATGGAAAAATAAGACATTCCCTGAAAATAAGACCTAGCGCATCTTTGGGAGCAAAAATTAATATAAGACACTGTCTTATTTTCGGGGAAACAGGGTAGCACAACCGAAGCACTTCCTAAGCACTGGCTATGATACTGTTCTTATTAAGGGTGGTGGTAGCAGTAGGGGATTTCGTAGAAAACTTAGTCTCCCAAGGAGTCTGGAAACAAAGAGGTCCCACAGGGGGCGAGGGTGGGGAGTGGTGCTTGCGGGCACAGACTTGTTCCCACCCCACTGCTAACTCCTCCAGGAGCAGTGGAGCAGTGTGCACCCACAACAGACAGCTGATCACGATGCATATCAAACACGGTGTCGGGACAGGGGGCTCTGTGCTGCTCTGGGCTGCTGAGCTGAAGTAGGCGGGGTTAGGGGTGGGGCTCCGTCAGTGAACCAGATCAGCAGTGTGGCTCCTCCTGGAGACAGCTAGCACACCAGCAGCAAGTGTCTCCCCAGAGACCCGCTGTCAGGGATGATGCTCTCCTCTCATCCCTCTTCCAGTATTCAGACTCCAGGTCTCTCCTGAAACACAGTCAGAGCTGCGTGCACGCTCGCCCAACACACACACACACACACACACACACACACACACACACACACATCTCCAACTAGGATCCATCTACAAGTCCAGCCTTTTAAGTACATGGAGGGGCCTCCTGGTCCAGCTCGGGCCCCTTCGGCCCAGTCACCTGGATGGCAGTCTGCCAAGGTCCTACCCACAACCATTGAATGGACTCAGAGTAACCCTACAAGATACGGTATAACTGCCCTGTGGGGTTCTGAGCCTGTAAATCTCTACTGGAGCAGAAAGCCTCGTCTTTCTCCCTCAAGCAAGGTCTCTGGTCCAGGGAGACTCTGCCTATCACCTCCGTCAGTGGTCAGCGCCGACTGTGGTCTGTCCTATGGAGGGCTCTGCATGAAGCTGTGGCTCACAGGACACCCGAGACAGGTGCCAGACCCCTGAAGGGCTTACAGAGGAACTGTGTGTTGGGACACGGCGATGAAAAGAGAAATCTCCCCAGAAACAGCCAAGTTAGCTCTGACTTGTGGGCATGCCACTGTGTCAGAGTCGAAGTGGACTCTAGGGTTTTTAGCAGCTGACCTTTTGGAAGCAGACTACCAGGCCTTGCTTCCGAGGTGCCCTGGGTAGGTGTGGACATAGTGTTAGCAGTTGAGGGCATTAACAGCTTGCCCCCGACCAGGGACTCCAATCTTATGCTAGGATGCCTATACTGGGGACACAAGTGATGTAGCCAAAGACTTGGGGCTTCTTGGATCCGTGTCCTAGCTGCATGCCCTCCTGGAGCCCCAGCTCCTTCACCAATGGGAGAATTGCATCTTCCTCTCCAAAGTCCCAGGGCAGTAGGGAGGCTCACCGGCAAAAGGAGAGGATGGGGTGAGAGCGACAGATCTCAGCCCAGAGGCAAAGGCTGTCCGATACTCAGGTCCCAGGAGGAGACAAGGGGCAGGCCAGTGAAGTGCTTGGAGAAAGAGGCAGCTGGAGGTCTTGGCTCTTAGGGGAGGGAGCTAGTTGAAGACAGCTTAGCGAAGCGCCTGGGTGTCGTGTGGTTCTGAGTTGGGCTCCTATCAGCAGTTGGAACCCAGCAGCCACTCAGAAAAAGAAAGTCAGGCTTTCTACTCCCATAAAGAGTTACAGTCTCAGAAACTCACCGGCTTCTACTCTGTCCCGTAGGGTCGCTATGAGTTGACATTGACTCGAAGGAGGTGGGTTTGGTTTGGTTTGGTTTTCAGGGAGGAGCGGGGGGGTAGGTAAGATTCTCAGTGAAGCAAAAAGGGGCATGAAGTGAAAAGATAGGAAAGCATGCGGTATGGCTGACTGCAGCAGGTGGCTAGACCATGGGCGTGATAGGTCAGGAGTGCCGGTGGACAGGAAGTCGGGACCAGTTATTGAGCCTCCTACAATGTCCCGAGAGTGAATGCACATCACCCTGATTGCCTCACTTGCCATGAATAGTGGGTGCTATTCATCCCATTAGGAGCTCTGTTGGTGTAGTGGGTTATGTGTTGGGCTGCTAACCACAAGGTCAGCAGTTCAAACCCACCAACTGCTATTTGGGACAAAGGCAAGACTTTCTATGCCCAGAGAGTTACAGTCTTGGAAATCCAAAGGAGCAGTTCTCCCCTGCCCTATAGGGTCTCTCTGAATCAGCATGGGGGTCAGTGGCAGTGAGGGAGTGAGGGATTCTGCCTGGTGGACAGATGGGGAAACTGAGGCAGAGAGCTGGGAAGTGGCTAACACATTGAGGCCATTTCCTCTCCATATGCTGCTGGGAGGCTTCTAGTTTCTGTTGGTGGGCTGTGGTAGCTACATAATCTGATGTCAACTTGAGACTATTAAGAGTGAAGGGGGAGAATCTAGCCTGTCAATCAGGTCCCAGCTTGATGAACACATTTGGAGGCACTAAGGAGATAAAAAGCTCACTGGAGGCCAGAAACACTCTCTCCTACACATTCCTGTTGACAAGCCACATGGAGCTATGCTGATGGAACCAGATCCTTGGAGCTGGAGGAGCCACGTGGAGACCCACGCCTGTGCTGAGGTGCTTTCACCACCACTGGGTCCACAAGACTTTCCACCCACTGGCCTGTGACCTTCCTGCATTTGGCATTATTTCATGGCTTCATGAGTCTGAAGAGGACTCGTGAGACTGGTATCGGACATATGGGCTAATATCAGACTTTTATCCTTGATCTGGACTGGGCTGGGATGTTTTCTTAATACATAATCACTCTTTATATAAAACTCTTTCTTATACACATATGAGTGTCTATAAATTTGTTTCTCTAGTCAACCCGGACTAATACATGGCCTGAGAAAGGATTGTTCACCCCTGTTCCCCAGGCCCTCAGGCAAGGTGATAAGGAGGGGTCAGTAGCTGGGGAAATAGCAAGTTTATTGGTAAAGGCTCAAGAAAGCAGGGTGAATTTGCTCTGAGAAGGGAGGCCTGGTGCAGTGACCTGAGACGGAATTCTGGAGACCGTGGTTCAGGAGACTAGACTCTTGGGACAAGCCTGGGATGGTGTGGCTTTGTTCTGGCTTCGTGGAAGACTCTGCCTGAGATCAGGTAGTGGTCCTGCCTGCTTCTGCTCCAAGGAGGGCTGGCTGAGAGGTAAGCGTTCCCCCCTCATCCCTTTCAACAACATTATCATAGACATTTGCATCAATCTGCATGCATTAGGAATCACTCTGAACTCACTCGCAAGTTTAAATATAGCCCTGTTATTATATTTTCAAAGTTGTTTGTCCTTGGCGCTCCCTTTCTTCCTTCCTTAAGCATCCTTCCCTCTTTCTCTGGCTCCCAAAGGAAGCCCAGCCCGTGCCTTGACCCGTTGTGGGCAGTGAGGAAGGGCAGAATCTAGGTTTCTTCTCTCTTCTGCTGCCCTTTCAGTCAGTCGGAGCCCACCTGAGCACCAGCCTCCCCCCACGCCTCTCCTCTCCTCCCCCCAAACTCATTGGCTTAGACAGTAGATTTGGCAATGCTGAAACCCAAGGCAAAGTGAAAAGTGGGTCCCTGGGCCAGCGGGGTGCATTTGGTTAACTTGCTTGGCTATTAATAGGAGGCTGGAGGATTGAGTCTACCCAGAAGTACCTGGGAAGACTTGGTAATCTCCCGAAACACCAGTCGCGGAGAGTCATAGGGAGCGCAGTTCTAGTCCGACACATGTCAGTCACCAGTTGACTGGATGGTAGTTGGTGGTGTGTGTGTGTGTGTGTGTGTGTGTGTGGTGTGTTGGTCTCAGCCCCATACTTTCAGCTGGGACTCGGAGCTGGCTTAGAGGAGGCATCTAGACTCAGTGTAGGGGTGCTTGCTGGAGGGACTGCCCCTTCACCAGC